AGCCAAGAATTGCTCGCGAACGCACTCCGATTTTCGCTGTATTGTCCATGAGCAGCTTTTGGTATTTTGATCATAACGTTTTCTTGTGATATCTGATTGAGGTAATTTAAAGTACATTGGAAAGATAACTTAAAGGGTTACAATTCTTCTAGGTCTAAGTTTTCCAATTCGAATGTTTGCTATCCAAAAAATGGAACTCAAGTTGAGACTAAAAATTCGGAGCATAACTTCATTGGTTGGAAATTTATATGTGAAATTACTTCAACTATATTTCACTCCTTTGACCTCCAATTGCATCCAATTGATTATATGTGATCTTCAATCATCATTTTATGGTCTGAATCAACTATTGAATATTTACACTCTAGTTCCCAAACTTTGGATATCTTTCAGTTTTGCCCGTTTTCCATTCCTTTCTTTTCTTTCAATTCCTCCAATTTACATTGAGTTCAATCTAACAAACATAATTAACTAATTAAGCTAGAACTCATCTAAATCACTAACAAATACTCCAATTTAATGGCCTAAATAAGTATACAAAAAACAATTATCATCGATCCTATGAGTTGAAGAAGAGTTAAGCATACACGCGGCCTTGGTGCATTATCAACCTTGTATGCAGCAATTGTTGAGGCATCCATCTGAAAGAAATAACAAATAGTTTTATGAAATTCAGGAAAAAGCTAGAATTTTCGGTAAAGAGTGGAAAACAGACTGACTATTTATGTTCGTGCTTTACAAGTGAATGAAGAAAGTTTATGTTCATATGCCTCGAATGTCACGATATTATATTTTCATGCTTTATAATAAGTTGAAATTGATTTTATGAATTTAAAGCCACTACATAAGGAATGTAGTTACTTAGGAGCCAGGATGTATTGACACACGCCTGACGCTCCGCCGTAAGATTTTTCTAAAAAGTACGACACAACACATTTTTTTTTATATAGTAGAATTTTAGTCTTATTATTTATTTTTTGTTGAAATATTTTAAATAATAGTGCCTATTTTTATATTATAAGAACTTTGAGCTAAAATTATATTTTACTAGTGTCAAGACACGAACACGTTACCCTAATAGAAGTGTTTGTGCACTACTCGTGCAGCACAGTTGACGAGTGGTGCACCTAAGGAGAAGGTTCTCGATAATCTAAGGACTTGTGGTGGAAAAAATTTTTTTTTGGGTGATTTCACCTAAGGAGAAGGTTCTCGATAATATAACTCCTGCGCTCAAGTAGCAAAGCTCCCACGTCTTGAGCAGTGTGCCAGCGCCCAAGCTTGCGGTAGGTGAGCTGTGAGCAGCGGTTCGTCCTAGCACTCAAGCATTGAATCTTTGTTCCAAATCTGATTTTCACACCCGATTGGCGCCTAGGCACACGGAATTGAGTGCCTGGGCTTCAATTTCTGCCCTACATTTCCTTTATCCATATTTTGACCTCTTTAAAGCCTTTTCAAACAAAACACCAAATCCCAATGGAATTTGGGTCGGAATTCAACATACAAAATCCAAGGATTATACCTCTTGGAATAATGAAGATTTTCTATGTGTCAACATAATGGCTGCTATGGTTAGCCCTTTCTTAGTTATTTCTTCTCCACTTTAAAGTCATCTAGCTGTCTTGAAACTCCTTTTTCCTTATTTTTGATGAGAAATAGACCCCTTAAATATTTTGGAAAGAATATGCCCATTAGTAAATTACGTCACTTTGACAGATTACTCTAACAAGCATTAAGCATTCCACAAATATGACAAATGTAAATGAATATAAAACCAATATTCCCAAATCCCAGCCCTACATATCTAAACATAAACATTTTATTTACTAAAAGGCAATAAATATACCAGAAGGAGAAGCAACATAAGCATTTCCTTTTCATATTTAAATTTTGGACAATCAGGATCTTTGTTAAATTGTAACATATTTACCTTTTCATAGATACAAAAAGAAAAAAATTTATTTACCTTTTCACAATGAAAATTTTAGTTTTGAAAATCTTTTTTTAGCTAAATCAAACTTTTTTCGCTTTTGAAAGTAAAATTTCTTATACTAAGATACAAAATGACAAAAACTGTACTAACAAACCTATTCCTACATATGCTACAAAATTACTTTCTCTAGCTTTTGCTTTTGAGTTCATTGATAACTATGTCAACTTCGACATGGATTAGATCATCACTGGCACTAGATTTTGAGCGTCTAAAGAATCATACATTCATTTTCCCACACATCTAGTGAAAACTTTCCTATCAAAATGTCACAAAGTGTTTTTAAAAAAAAATATATTGTTGAAAATTAAACATTTTTTTGCTAGGTTATGGCGTATAAAAATAAATGGTTATCTTCTATAGTATATGTTGTAATTATAATGATTTATGCATTTGATTTTCAATAATTCAACCAAGTTATATAGATCGTGAAAATAAAAGTTATGTATGGACTATAGTTATTTTTTTAGGAAGATATTATGTAGAGTATATTGGATAATTCTTTCTCAATAATTCAGTAATTACTTTCAAAAGAATTGACATTTTAAAGAGAAAAAAGCAACATATTGAAAAATATTTTGAAACAAATAATATTTACTTGAATTTAAGCAACAAGGAAACTGGATAATAATCTCTCGCAACCAAGAAAATCATACTTGCGAATATCTGTTTGGCATACGATATTAACGATTTACATTCTCCCTAATAAACTGCTCTAACTGAGAGAAGTCACCGGTAAAACCAGATGCTTCTGCATGACTGCAACTGCAACTTTGTTTTGGCCCTGAGAAAATGCAAAGGCTTCTCCAGGTATCCTGAGAGTGTAATCATTGGCAATATCTGCTGAAGACAGTGCTGTTCTTGATGATCGAAGCTTGTCGCTGAGTCACGAAGGGGTCAATTTATTAGCTTACTGTCACTTGCATACAGTGGGACATACCGTGTGTTGTTTATTGCTTTGTTTACTATTTTTATATTCTGTGGTATTCAAACATAGGTTAAT